TTCCCAAAAGCTGGGATCAGAGATTTGTGCCAACACACCTGACTTTGCCTTCCATTCTTCATAATCTTACTAATGGACCAGCCTGAAAACACATAGAGAAAATTATACTGTTTTTTTAAAAAAGTATTTTTTATTTACCATTCTATGTGTACGAGTGTACTGCCTGCATGTATGTGAGTGCACCCATGTCGGGCAATGCTGTGGAGGTCAGAAGAGGGCTTCGGATTCCCCTGGAACTGGAGTTAAAGATGGTTTGTAGCCACCATGTGGATGCTGGGAATCGAAGCCAGGTCTTCTGCAAGAGCAGTCAGTGCTCTTAACTGCTGAGCCATCTCTCCAACCCTGAGAAAATCATATTTTTTTAAAAAAGAATATTTTATTATTATTTATTATTTTTATTTTATGTGTATGCGTGTATTGCCTGTGTGTAGGTAAGGGCACCCATGTTGTGCAATGCCCACAGAGGACAGAAGAGGCCGTCAGATCCCCTACTGGAGTTATGGACAGTTGTTAGCCACCATGTGGGTGCTGGGACTTGAACCTGGGTCTTCTGCAAGAACAATCAGTGTTCTTAACCAATGAGCTGTCTCTCCAGCCCCTGCATATTAAACTTTCATTTTGAAAACTTTTTAGGTTTACTTAATAGTTTTGGTTCAATTTTTTTAAAAATATTTTATTTATTTGTTATAAGTATGATTTTAAACAACTCCTCAAACTTAAGACAGCGTCTGTTCATAAAAAACTGTTGGCTAGGGTATGGAGAGATGGCTCAGAGGTTAAGAACACTGGTTGTTCTTGCAGAAGACTGGGTTTGAATCCCAGCACTCACATGGCAGCTAACAACTGTCCATAACTCCAGACCCAGGGGATCCGACGACCTCTTCTGACCTCCTAGGGCATTGCACAACATGAGTGAACTTACCTACATGCAAGCAATACATGCATACACATAAAATAAAATTTAAAAAAATTAAAAACAAAACCCAAAAATACCTGTTGGCTATAATTTTAAATTACACATCTAAGACTTCCTATGAGTCATGCAGCACCTAAATCAAAGAAATGACTTAAATGTCGCAATATGTCACAGAATTGTGCAAACAACTGATGGGGACATCAATGGTGATATGGTCATTATACCTGGCACCTCTTCTATATGCCCCCCTACACTATTGCAGAAACCATTTATTTTAACTTTTTTTTTTTTTGGAGACAGGGTCTCCCTGTAGCCCCAGCTGGCCTGAAATTCACTATGTAGACCAGGCTGGCCTTGAACTCACAGAGATCCACCTGCCTCTGCCGATGCCTCTGGAGTGCTGGGATTAAAGGCATGCACCACCATACCTGACTTATTCTAACTTTTTAAATTTTACTTATTTTAAAGACAAGGCCTCCTATGTTGCAGGTTGGCCTAGAACTCATCATATAGCCACCTCCACTTTTCAAATACTGGCATTAGAGGCACATGCTACCACATCCATTTTCCTTTTCTTTATTATTAACTGGTACCTCTTTCCAACCGTGGCCAAGTTCTTTTTTGTTGTTTTAATGTGTATGAGTGTACTGCTTGCATATATATAAGTGAACCCATGTTGTGACAATTGTTAGCCACCATGTATATAACTGCACCCATGTTGTGACAATTGTTAGCCACCATGTGGGTGTTAGGAATTGAACCTGGGTCCTCTGCAAGAGCAGCCAGTACTCTTAACCACTGAGCCATCTCTCCAGCCCCTCAGCCAAGTCCTTGAATCACTTGAAACAAGAGTAGCATAGGTATGACTAAGCCTAAGTGCCTGAGGTAAAAAAACAAATGTTAGCTGGGCGTGGTGGCGCACGCCTTTAGTCCCAGCACTTGGGAGGTAGAGGCAAGCGGATCTTTGTGAGTTCGAGGCCAGCCTGGTCCTACATAGTGAGTTCCAGGACAGCTGGGGCTACAGGGAGACCCTGTCTCAAAGAAAGACAAAAAACAAGCACTAATATGTTTCTTGGTAAAAGGTAGGGAAAGAGAAAAATCAAAATTTGTGTGTACAGGTGTACTTACCTACATGCAGGCAATATACTCATACACATAAATAAAAATAATAAACATTTTTTAAAAAACCAAAAACAGGCCAGGCGTGGTGGCGCACAACTCTAATCCCAGCACTTGGGAGGCAAAGGCAGGCGGATCTTTGTGAGTTTGAGGCCAATCTGGTCTACATAGTGAGTTCCAGGACAGCTGGGGCTACAGGGAGACCCTGTCTCAAAATAGACAAAACACTCATGCACAAAAAAGATAATAAATAAATAAATAAATAAATAAATAAATAAATAAATAAATAAATAAATAAATAAAAAACCAAAAGCAAAATCAGGCATGGTGGTTCATGTTTGCAATCCCAGCCCTTGGGAGGTAGAGGCAGGAGGATCAGAAGTTCAGGGTCATCCTCAGCTACATACAGAGTTTGAGGCCAGCCTGGGATACATGCAACCCTGACTCAACATTTTCCTTAACCCCCTCAAGGAGAACTGAGGGCACAAAGAGGTGAAGGGAAGGCTTTTAAAGTGAGCTGACCATATATCAGTCTCATAAGGAGACTGTTTTATATATTTTAAAAAAATTTTTATTTTTTGTCTTTTTGAGACAGGGTCTCCCTGTAGTCCCAGCTGGCCTGGAACTCACTATGTAGACCAGGCTGGCTTCGAACTCACAGAGATCGGCCTGCTTCTGTCTCCCAAGCGCTGGGACTAAAGGCGTGCGCCACCACGCCCAGCTTATATTTAAAATTTTTTAAAAAGGAAGAAAGGATTGGTGTTAGGAGTCCTTCACCTGTCTTAAGTAGGACCAAAAAGCTGGATCAGAGAGCTTGAAAAACTCAAGAGTCTTATGCATAAAATAGGAGTATCCTAACAACCTTGGTCAAATGAAACTGCTCAATACATATCCACAGATGTGACAATTTTTCTAATTTTTAATACCAACATTTTGCATAACCTGACAGTATGGCTAAAGAAAATCAAAACAAAACAAAACAAAACCCTAGTTGACCAGAAAGGAGAGGTGTACACAGAAAGAAGAGACCTTGTTGTTTACTTTCTACCAGGGAAATGCCCTCCATAAACAGAAGTGCCAGCAGATTTTCTATAGCCATAGGACAGAAATTCCAAATAAGTTCTGTTCTATTCTTTAGGTTTTGTTGCTGCTGCTGCTGTTGTTGCACACCAGAGAGGACATACGATAATTATTTCTAGAAATTAGAAAAAAAAAAAAAATCACACACACAGACACACAACTTTGGCTTATAGCTTCCAGCTAAGTGTTAACAAACCCAAATATATAAATCCAAGAGGTTGCTCATATAGGAAAAAAAAATCCCTGAACTTGTAGGTGAAGCAGCTTTTAATGAAATTATACATGATACACACTGGTGTTTCTATTTAAATACAAGGAAATTTATTGGGCTAAAATCATGTTTTCTATTTAATTGGGTAGTTATTAGTTTTTTGAGATGGAGTTTCACGTAGCCCAGGTTGGCCTAGAACTGACTATGTAGCTGAGGCCTTGAACTGCCTTTCCACTTCCACCCCTCCATGCTGGGATTACAGACAAATAATACAATGCTCAGGCCATCATGAAGCCTTCTGACCTTCATTTTGATTCAGCAAAATCCATGTTGTAATTCATGAAGGAAAGTCAGTGAAACGGTAAAGTAAGATAAATGCTCCCACCTTTGACCTTATGGGGAATGCCTGTCCAAATAACCATTTTATTTATATATATATTATATATATCTCAAAGTCAATAAATGGCCTGAGATGTAAGACTTCCAAAAGTACGCTAATTTAAGTGGTAAGAAAATAAGATCTCTGTTGGAATAACCAAGTACATTCATTCTTTAAAATTTTTATACTGATACCCCTCAAATTAATGAAATCCAAGCTCTGAGAATCAATCTTTCCTTAAAGTTATTGCTTAAACTCTCTTTAAACATTAGATACTAGCCATCCACCGCCATACGAAAACAGTAAGTTCATTAGGCCAAAGACACTGATCACAGGGCAAACCAGTGGAAATGTGGTATTTTGAAGACACTTACCAGAACTGTACAGAAGATGGTGACTCAGATGCATATCTTATCTATATCTCACAAAGATTCATAAAACCCACTTTTTGGAGACTAGAGAGATGGCTCAGTGATTAAGAGCACTGGCTGCTCTTACAGAGGACCCAGGTTCAATTCCCAGCACCCACAAGACAACTTACAACTCTCTGAACTTCAGTTTCAAGGGGCTCCAATGCCATCTTCTGGTCTCTGCAGGCACTACATGCATGTGATGCACTTATATACATGTGGGCAAAATCTTCATATACATAAAGTGAAAAAATAAGCCGGGAGTGGTGGTGCAAACTTTTGATCCCAGCACTTGGGAGGCAGAGGCAGTTCAGTAAGTTCAAGGCCAGCCTGGTTTACATAGTGAGTTCCAGGTCAGCTGGGGCTACAGGGAGATCCTCTCTCAAAGAAAAAGACAAAAAAAAAAAAAAAAAAAAAAAAAAAAAAAAATTGAAAACTCACTTCCTGAAACAAGTGAAATTTTGCAATTGTTTATGTACTTCTGATTTTTTTTTGGTCTTTTTGAGACAGGGTTTACCTGTAGCCCCAACTGGCCTGGAACTCATACATATGTAGATCAGGCTGGCCTTGAACTCACAGATCCATCTGCCTCTGCATCCTGCCTCCTGAGTGCTGGGATTAAAGGCGTGTGCCACCATACCAGGGCACTCTGATTCTGATATTTCTTTTTTTTCTTTTCTTTCTTTTTTTTTGGTCTTTTAGTAATTTGGGAATCCTGAGGACCTTACATAGACATGTTTATGTTTAAAAACATGTAAATGTGAGGAAAAAAAAGTTGGTTTCAAGCTATAAGACCATTCATTCAACATGGAAGAGTCACTACTTAACAGTTTATCCTTAAGTTTAACCAGGGAGATTATACTTGGAACTGACAACATTACTCACCTTTAAGACAGAGGCTAAGCTGGTCATATGCTCATGGAGGGCACCCTCAGACTCCTTATAGGTCAAACAAGTGAACTGGTACTCTTCGGGATCAAAGGCATCAGCCCCCTGCTGTTCCACATCACTGGCTACTCCCGCATAGTAGTCCTCTATGTCCCCAGGATCTTCTTCCTCCTCTTCTTCCTCTTCCTCACAATTTGGGTCATAGTCCTCTTCATTGCTGTCAGACCCTTGGCTGTTCATGTCCACAGACATCTTAACATCCAGCCAAGTTGCAGGTCAGGAAAGCAGATGCCTTTTCCCCTCCCCCCAACTTTATCGTTTTCTCAAATGCATTAGTGTTTTTGTCTTCTAAGGGAGGAAAAAAAGAAGTGTTACTCTTTCCCCTATAAGAAATTGTAACAGCACGACACAGGTGCACTTACATGCAGGCAATACACTCATACACATAAAATAAAATTTTTTAAATTTTAACAGCGGGGCTGGAGAGATGGCTCAGCACTGACTGCTCTTGCAGAGGACCCAGGTTCGACTCCCAACACCCACATGGTAGCTACGAATCGTCTTTAACTCCAGTTCCAAGGGAATCCAAAGCCCTCTTCTGACCTCCACGGCACTGCATGACACAGGTGCACTCACATACACACAGGCAATACACTCATACACACAAAATAAAAATAGTATTTTTTTTAATTAAAAAAAAAATAATAACAGAAATAATTTAAGCATCAAGGAGGCATAGCGCTGGCCCTGTTCCCAATATGACCTATTTCAAGTTTGGTCTCATATGGTGCATCTTTCTATCAACTCCCCAGTGTAGCTTATTAAAGGGGAACTCATGTCTTTAGAGACAGAAGCTGATGATGGAAAATTCACAGGAAGGACTTGGCACAAAAATGCAAGGCATCTTCCCTAAATCAAGGACTCAAATTCCAAGGGCTGGCAAGATAGCTCAGCAGGTGGGCATTTTTCTTCAAGCCTGATGGTATGAGTTTAATACCAGGCCCAAGACAATGGAAAGAGAAAAGTAATACTCCCTAGTTGTGCTCTGACCTCCACACAAGTGCACAAGCACATACCCACACACATAAGATTAAATTTATCTATTTATTTTTTGTCTTTTGAGACAGGGTCTCCCTGTAGCCCCAGCTGTCCTGGAACTCACTATGTAGACTAGGCTGTCCTCAAACTCACAAAGATCTGCCTGCCTCTGCCTCCCAAGTGCTGGGATTAAAGGCGTGCGCTACCAAGCCCAGCAAGATTAATTTAAAAAAAAAGAATTCAAATTTCAATGGACTTGTCCTTCTTGCCACAGTCCTTCAGGGAAAAGTGGATCTTCACAGTTGGCTATACAAATGGAAGGTAACCCTAAAGGTTTAGCTAACAAAGTTTAAAGTTTTGCTAATTGAGTCCCAGGGATGACAAAGAAAATACATCATTAAGGATACAGTTCATTCCCATTATGACAAGTAGGGAAAGAAACTGTTTCACAAATATCTCTCTCAGATGTCTAGAAGATAGGTGCATAGTTAGGGAAAAAAAAAAGGTCACAGAATTCTTCAACATCCTTCTCTTATCTGCTAGGTTAGTATTTCCCCAATTTAAAGAGTTCTGCTAAAGCCATGCATGGTAGAAAGTGCATGCAATCCCAGAAGTTGGGAATGTGAAGCAGGGGGATCATGACTCCAAGGCCGCCCTATCTATAATAAAACCCTGCCTCTGAAAATGGGGGAAAAAAAAAGTGTGTATATACACACACACACACACACACACACACACACAAAAGATCAATTTATTTGGGGCTGGAGAGATGGCTCAGCAGTTAAATGTACTGGTTGCTCTCATAGAAGACCAGAGTTTGGTTACCAGCATCCACATGGTGGCTAACAACCATCTGTAACTCCAGTTCTAGGGGATCTGATGCTCTCTTCTGATCTCCGAGGGCACTACACGACACTGATGTACCGACCTACATGCAGGCAATATACTAATACACATAAAATAAAAATAAGTCATGATGTTTTGCCTACATGTCTATTAAGTGCACCCATGTTGTGTAGTGCCTGCAGAGGCCACAAGAGGGCATTAGACACAGAACTGGAGTTAAGGGCTGTTGTTAGCCACATTGGGGTACTAATCCAGGTCCTCCGCTGAGCTCTCTCCAGTTCCCCAAAATTAAGAACGAATGTGGAAATAAAAGTATACTGATCATGTAACTAACTAGTCTACAGGACTACAGAACCACTTCTTTATGTTATAAAAATATCAGGCCAGGCATGGTGGCCCACACCTTTAATGCCAGCACTTGGGAGGCACAGGCAGGCAGATCTCTATGATAGCTGGGGCTGCAGGGAGACCCTGTCTCAAAAAACAAAAACAGGACTGGGTGTGGTGGCGCACACCTTTAGTCCCAGCACTTGGGAGGCAGAGGCAGGCGGATCTCTGTGAGTTCAAGGCCAGCCTGGTCTACATAGTGAGTTCCAGGACAGCTGGGGCTACAGGGAGACCCTGTCTCAAAAAGACCAAAAAAAATAAAACAAAAACAAAAATAAAAAACACCAGCAAGTCTAAGCTGGTATATAACTGTAAATACTCATCATTTAAGAATGTATCTCAAAAAACAAAAGTATCAAATTACTGGGCAGCAAATTTCATATATGTATACAATGAAATATGATTATATCCACCCCCCAGCATTGTAACTTTTTGAGTGTGTACATGTGGTGAATGCATGTGTACATGGAGGTCAGAAGTTCAGTATCTTCCCCCATTATTCTCTATCTTGTTTTATTTTTTAAAATTTCGATTACATTTCACTTATTTATTATTTATTTATTATTTATTGTGTGTATGTACATGTGTGCGTGTACATATGTTGGTGTGTATGTGTGTGGACATACCTGCGCCACAGTGAGTGTGGTGTGCAGAGGTAAAAGGACAACTTGTGAGATTTGCCTCTCTCCTTCCACCATGCTGAACCTGGTGACTGAAGTCAGTCAGTAGGCTCTGTGGCAAGCAACTTTACCTGCTGAGCCATCTTGCTGGTCCTCCATCTTGTTTTTTCAGTTAGGGTTTCTCACTGAACCTGGAGCTTACCAACTGACTAGCAAGCCCTAGGGAGCCTCCTGTCTCTGCCCCTTCACTGTAACACTGGAGTTACAGGTATACACTGCCACACCCAGCTTATTATGTGGGTTCTGGGAAATCAGAATTCAGTTCCTCAAGCTTTTGTGGCAACCACTTTGCTGAATAAGCCATCTCCCCAGCCCTTGCAATTAACTTTTTCTTTTTTTTTTTGAGACAGTGTGTCATTATGTAGCCCTGGATGGCCCAGAACTCACTATGTATTTCAGGTTGGCCTTGAATGCACAGAGATCCACCTGTCTCTGCCTCCCCACTGCTGGGATTCAAGGCGTGACACCATGCCTAGTTCCTCTGCAATTAACTTTTAACAGGTTTAGTATGGTAGAACTGAACTTAACTATGGTATCTGACATCTTTAGGGCAAAAATTAATCTTGGGCCTTGAGATGGCTCAATGAGTAAAGGTGCCTACCACCAAGCCTGACAACACAAATTTGATCCCCTGGACCTGTATGGTGGAAGAAAAGAACCAACTTCACAAAGATGTCCTCTGACCTCTACACACACACACACACACACACACACACACACACACACAAATCAATGCAATAAATACTTTTATATCACCTGTAATTTCAAAGATCTTTCTAGTAGATGTTGCCCAAGAAGTCTGTCATATGATTTCCATCTAAAAGGAAAAGAGACAACATTTACGTTTTTTGTGTTTGTTCTTTTTTGGGGGGGTGGGGGGGAATCCTTTTTGAGATTTTTGAGATAGTCTCCCTGAAGCCCCAGGAACCTGAAATTCACTATGTAGACCAGGCTAACCTTGATCTCACAGAAGCCGGCCTCTGCCTCCCAAGTGCTGGGATTAAAGGTGAACACCACCATGCCCAGCAAAACAATTATGTTTAAACAAAAACATTCTTTTTATGAGTGTTTTGCCTGTGTGTATGTTAAGCACATGACATGTGTATAGCACCCACAGAAGCCAGAAGAGGGTGTTGGATCCCCTGGAACTGGAGTTATGGATGGCTATTAGCTACTACATGGGTGCTGGAAACCAAACCTGGGTGCTCTGAAAGAACAGCAAACACTCTTAACCACTAAGCCAACTCTCCAGTCCTTAACTATGTAACTCTGGCTAGTTTGCAATTCACTAGACTAGGTTGGCTTCAAACTCACAGAGATCCACCTGCCTCTGCCTCCCAAGAACTGGGACTAAAGTCATGTACCACAACATTAGGCAATAAGTTTGTTTTTGGTTTTTTTTTTTGGTTTTAAACAAAAGATGTAGTGGCTGTGTGTACCTCAGTTAGTAGAATGCTGGTCTAGCATATATGAAGCCTTGGGTTTGATTCTCAGTGTTACAGAAATGAGGAGTAGTGGTGTCCACCTATAACCCCAGCACTTGGGATGATAGAAACAAGAGGACAGTAGTTAAAGGTAACTCTTGGCTACATAACAAGTTAGAGGCCAGCCTGGGCTACATGAGACCCTGTCTCATCTCAACAAAAATCCTTATGGCATAACTATAATGCAAGAATCACAAGGCCTAGGAAAAAGTACTCAGATTAAAAAGTTAACAATTTTATCAGGGGAACTAGAGGTGAAAATGGATGCTCAATTCCCTCCACCCAGTCTGAAAGTTGACTTCCTGACTCTTTGTGTGTGTGGTCTTTTTGAGACAGGGTCTCCCAGTAGAACCGGCTGGCCTGGAACTTGCTATGTAAACCAAGCTGGCCTTAAAAGCAAGTGTTCCACCTGCTGCTGCCTCCCAAGTACTGGTATTAAAGGCATCCTTAGTCTTAACATTCCTCTTCATATTCCAGTCATATTGCCTTCTACTGTAATTTCAATACTGAGTGTTAAATAGAGGTTGGTAAAACAATTTGTAACTTATTTGAACTTTCAGATTTTTTTTTTTTTTAAGTCTTTTTTGAGACAGGGTCTCCCTGTAGCCCCAGCTGTCCTGGAACTCACTATGTGGACCAGGCTGGCCTTGAACTCAGAGATCCGCCTGCCTCTGCCTCCCCAGTGCTGGGATTAAAGGCGTATGCCACCATGACCGGCCAAACTTTCAGATTTTTAAAAACAGGGGTTGGGTATGATATAGCTCATGTGCTAGAATATTTGCCTAGCCTAGGTTCAGATCCCACCACCACATAAAACCCATCACGAGCCAGGTGTGGTGGCGTACGCCTGTAGTCTCAGCACTTGGGAGGCAGAGGCAGGCGGATCTCTGTGAGTTCAAGGCCAGCCTGGTCTACATAGTGAGCTCCAGGACAGCTGGGGCTACAGGGAGACCTTGCTTCAAAAAGACAGAAGGGGAAAAAAAAAACCAAAAAACAACACCCCATCAAGATGGCACCCATTTGTAACCCCAGTGTCCTGGATAGCTTTAGTTGTCGATTTGACAGACATACCTGGGTAAAGAGGGTCTCAACTGGGGAACTGGTGATCGCTCACAGGTTTTTCACCAACCAAATATTCCAGGTGGTGAGAATCCAGGTTCCCTCAAATAAAAAGGATATCTATTTCATATTTCTTGGTGTTCTAAGTCCAAATTTAAATAAAGCTTAATTTTTTTTAATCTTTTCAAAGTTTTAGAGGGAGGGAGAATGAGTCTCATTACAACCTGTTAAGCCATTCTTGATGGAGTGCCAGCCTTGGTAGGCTTCATGGCATATGCCAGGATTCCCAGTTTGGGGAAGCTTAGGCAGGAGGATGGAAAAGTTGAGACCAGCCTAGGCTACACAGCAAGACCTCATCTCAAAAAAACAAAAACTTGGGGCTGGAGAGATGGCTCAGTGGTGAAGAGAACTGACTGCTCTTGCAGAGGACCCGGGATCAATTCCCAGCACCCACATGGCAGCTATAAACTGTCCTTAACTCCAGTTCCAGGGGAATCAGAAGCCCTCTTCTGACCTCCATGGCATTGTACAACATGGGTGCACTCATATACATGCAGGCAATACACTCATACACATAAAAATAATAAATAAGGGGTCTGGAGAGATGGTTCAGCGGTTAAGAACACTAGTTGATCTTGCAAAAGACCCGGGTTCGAATCCTAGCACCCACATGGTAGCTAACAACTGTCCATCACTCCAGTCCCAGGGGATCCTACAGCCTCTTCTGACCTCCGAGGGCACTGCTTGACACAGGTGCACTTACCTACATGCATGCAATACATGCATATACATAAAATAAAAATATTAAAAATAGCAGTAATAAAATTTTTTAAAAAATTACTTGAGCGCTGACTTTGCTCACAGGGGGCCAATATGTTGTTTTCTTAGTAACAGAGCTTATGGCAATATTTTGAATTCAACATGTTATCTAGGCCACAAGTAGTGGCACATGCCTTTGATCCAGCAGTAGTATATGACAGGCAGAGGCAGATGAATCTCTGTGAGTTCCAAGTCAGGGCTGTATAGTGAGACCCTGTCTTAAAAAAAAAAAAAAGAAAAGAAAAAAAAAAGAAAAAGAAAAAAAAGTTGTATATGCCTACATCCCATACAGATATGGAATAACAAATTTTTTTTCCCAGCAACTAAAGTCATGTTCAACCCATCCTGAGCTGCCTCCCGAGACTCGATCACATACAGAAGGATCCAAACGGAAAACCTCAGTTTAAAGTTGGCAAAAACAGAGACATTTGGTGAATCTAACAACTCTGGTTATGATATCTGGCCCTCAAAGGTCATTTATTAGCTACATTTTCGAAGAAAATTACTTGGCAGAAAAAAAGGAACCAGCAACTTAGGTTTTAAAACCCTTCACTGTATCTGTCCCAATTCAGTGCGTAGTCGCTAGTTGCACAGAAGTCATTTAAACGTCATTTAACTTTTAAAAGTAAAATGGGAGTATCTCGGTCGCACTAGCCACAGACACGCACTTAATGGCCACGTTTGCCTAGTGCCTTCCACTGAACAGCGAAGGTTACAGAGCACGTTCATCGTGTCACAAAGTTCTCCGGGACAGAGAAACTATCAGAACAGAGGTGAAGGAGCGCACTACCGCCTCTCTAGAGGCTAGCCCAATGGCGTCGGGCGTGACCGCACGTCCCTCGCAGCCGCCGCGGTCTTCAGGACAGCCGCGAGGCCGCGGTACCCACGCACCAGGACCTAGTAAAGGCCGGGCATTAACAAACAGTGCGGGCGGGCGCAACAAGGGCTCGCCAACGCGACTGAGCGCTGAGCTTCCGAAGTGGCGCGTTTTCCAGGAGCGACCAGCGGGGAGGGCCCAAATCAACCGGTGCCGGCCGGTCAGGGGCGCTGGCCTCTGACCTCTCCGGGAGCTGAGGCGACGACACGAGAAACCCCCGCGAGACGCCGGGCACCGACTGCTCGGAGCCCGACTCGCGGGTAACGCGGGGAAGAGGGGCGCCGGGGCCTCGCAGGCGGCGGCGAAGGCGGAGCCCCGACCGCGCTGGGGAGCCGCGCGCGGAGCACCCCCACACTGACCAGCCAGGGTAAACAAGGCCTTGACTCCGCCGCGCACTTACCGGGAGCCGCGGCCCCACGGCCGCAGAGCCCGGGCCGGCCAGACCAGGTCAGGCCGGGCCAGAGGAGTCGGGCTGGGGCAGTAGCGGTGGTGGAGCGGCGGGCAGACGCCGGTCAGGCCCGCGCTGCTTCCTCCCGCGGAGAAGTCCCGCAGTTCCGGAAGTGTTCGGCGTGGTTGCGTCACTTCCGGTCGAGGTCGGCCCGCGGTCGCCGGAGTAGTTTACAGGTTTCTGGCAAAAGTGTAGTTCTTGGACTCGGTTCCTTGCGATCCTCATGCGGCAGTGCGGACCGCAGGGAGAAGCTACAGAGCGTCAGGTTTTTCAAGGAGCGATCTGGAAGTCTTTTCCTGCATTAACCTGTTTGATATATATATTCTGATACAGTCTTTGCTTGATATATTCTGAAATTTCCCAACGGTTATTGTGCGTGTGTGTATGTGTACGCGCGTGTGCCATGCCATGGTTCTCGTGTGGAATTCATTGGACAACTTTAAGGAGTCGGTTCTCTCCTACCTGTGGGTTCCAAGGATTGAATACTTCTTGTCAGGCTTGACATCAAGCACCTTTGCCCACTAAACCATCTCGCCGGCCCCTAGCCGAGGTATTTTAAATAATTTTTCTGATTGGCTCCTCATTCTCTGTTTACACTCCACCGAGAAAACATTTAGAAGACAATGGAGTGGGTAAAGAAAGAATCGTGGTTTCCTGGCAATTATGTGTACTGGAAATTTCTCCCTACCTTCGGAGGAAGTTGTGGCCCAGTTGCCACTAGACAGCATTGGGCTTAAGCTTCTCCAGTCAGAAGAAGGTCACCTCCTCGCCACCTTTTCTCCGGCTTCCACTAACCCTACACAATTATGTCTTTACTGCTCTGCTTCACCTTTCTGCCCACACCATAGAAACTGTCATTAAGACCAGTCCCTTCTAAGACTTGTCTCCTGGTCTACATAGTGAGTTCTGGGCCAGCTGGGGCTACAGGGAGACTCTATCTCAAAAAGACAAAAAAAGAAAAAGACTGGTTGCTAAGTGTGGTGGATGGTAGGATAAAGGCTCACTCAAGTTGCCACTACACAGCAGTGGTGATGCCAGTGAGGCTAATGATGTTAGGGAGCAAACGTTTGTGAATGTCTGTGAGTTTGAGGCTAGCCTACATAGCCTACAGTCTACTAGGGCTACTGAGACCCTATCTCAAAAAGCTAAAAAAACAAATAGTGTACTTAAATCAGTGATAATCAAATGGTAAAAGTCGCTAATTTGGAGTGAGAATGAATAGTGCTTAGGAGGCAAAGGCAGAGGGGTCACACATCACTGCAGCCTGGACTACACAGCAATTTCCAAATTCCAGTTAGGGCTGGAGTGAGACCCTATCTCCAAATAAAACAAAACAAAAAAACCCTGCTAGAAACCAGTGTACTTGTTTTAACAAAATATATCCATGTAAGTTGTGTTGCTACTAGCAAAGGACCCCAAATATACTTTCTGCAAATGAATTTTCAGCTATCACTTTGGGTGACTGGTAATAAATCCCAGTGAGTAGGAGGGATTCCTAGAGAAGTCTTGCACTTCAAACTACACAATGACTATGCGCACATGTCAACAGTATGCATGTGCAGCGTGTTGGAATCTTGAATACACCCATCCCACAGTAGCTGTAGCAGAAACAGGTTCAAATTCGTTTTAGGACCCTGTACCAAAATCTAAGTTCCCATCAAGTCCCTCATATAAAATGGCATGGTATTCACATAAAACCTGTACATATCTTACCATGTACTTTAAATCATCTCTGGGTTACTTATAAATACATAATTCAGTGTAAATGCCATGTAACATAATTGCTATACCATATTGTTTTGGAATAGAAGAAAAAAATACATTTTTTCCAAATACTTATTTTTTGTCTTTTTGAAGCAGGGGCTCCCTGTAGCCCCAGCTGTCCTGGAACTCACTATGTAGACCAGGCTGGCCTTGAACTCACAGAGATCCGCCTGCCTCTGCCTCCCAAGTGCTGGGACTACAGCCGTGTGCCACCATGCCCAGCCCAAATACTTTTTAAAAAAATTTTATTATTTTTATTTTATGTGTATGAGTGTATTGCCTGCATCTATCTATGTGAGTGCACCGGTGTCATGCAATACAGTGGCGGTCAGAAGAGGGCATCCGATTCCCCTAGAACTGGAGTTAAGGACAGTTCATAGCCACCATGTGGGTGCTGGGAATTGAACCCGGGTCTTCTGCAAAAGCAGTCAGTGCTCTTAACCATTGAGCTATCTCTCCAACCCTAGCCAAATACTTTTTTTTTAATGTTTAAAAAAGTTTATTGTGCCAGGAGTGGTGGTGCATGCCTTTAATCCCAGCACTCTGGAAGCAGATGGATCTCTGTGAGTTCAAGGCTGGCCTCGCCTACATAGTGAGTTCCAGGACAGCTGGGGCTACAGAGAGACCCTGTCTCAAAAAGACCAAAAAAAAACTTTTTGAGAATTTCATGCATGCATATAAGGTGTTTTGATCAAATCCATGCCCACTCCCTCCCCTCCAACACCTCCCATGTCTTCCCATCACTTTTTTTCTGACAACTTCATGTACTCTTTTTCTCTCTCTTACTTTCTTTGTCTGTCTTCCTTCTTTCCCTTCCTTCCTTCCTCCCTCCTTCCCTCCCTTCCTCCCTCCCTCCCTTCCTTCCTTCCTTTCTTTCTTTTTAATGGGGCTTTTTGTTACTCTAACATTCCCCCCCTCTGAAGAGGTAACCCTAAAATCTTTTAGGGATTAGATAAGAGTTCCCAATTACTTTTGACATTTTTGGCCTTTGGAACATAGTATGTTGCTAAGAGGACCAAGGACATTTTGACTTTTAGCCAAGAAACTGCCTACTTTCCTTTGGGGTCATTTTTACCCTAACTGCATAGCCTAGCCAATTCCTACCTTTTTAAAAAAAATATATTATTTTTATTTTATGTGTATGAGTGTATTGCCTGCATGTATGTGAGTACACCCATGTCATGCAATGCGGCAGAGTTCAGAAGAGGGCTTTGAATTCCCCTGGAACTGGAGTAAAGGACAGTTGTAGCTGCCATGTGGGTACTGGGAATCGAACCTGGGTCTTCTGCAAGAGCAGTCAGTGCTCTTAACTGCTGAGCTTTCTCTCCAGCCCCCACCTACCTCCTATTCTTATCACACTATCCTCTGAAGAGGTTACCCAAATTGCCAATAGGGAATCCGGACTCAGAGAGCTCTGACTTCTTCCATGCTGAACAGTGACACAGGGTGAGGCAATTGGGGTACCCCTTCAGTGGGTCTGTCTAAAAGACTTCCAAATTGTATAACTTATCTGTAGGGAGAAAAGAAAGTTCTTGACTGGTAAATAGGGGATGTGAAGGAGAAGTAAAGGCAAGAGTAGTTAGCATTACAAGTTCTAGACAGGGAACCAGAAAAACAGGGAAAATTTCAAATGTTCATATCAGAGTCCATTGGGATTCTTGGGAGCTTCCAAAAGCATCCCTCTATTGGGTTCCTCATTTTTCTTTTGTCTGCCAAGGCTGGACTCAAGAGTGATGGACTCAGGATTTGTTTTCAGGCACTTTGATAGTTGTTTGAGTGGCTAGAATCAGTGTCAGTTCCCTCTCAAAGGCTTCTAGATAGGGGAGAAAACAAATTTGGCCATCATTTTAGAACAATAGTGTGTGTTATCTCCCTTAGCTACAGGTGGGCACTACAGTATTGCAGACCAAAATTTGAAGTCTTACATCTGAGCAGCACTTTCTGCTTAGAAACCAAATCATCAATGAGAAAAAATTGTCTAAATAACATTTTATACGGACTTAAGCCTAATGTTTGGGAAGTGTAATCCCTTCAACTCTTAAAGAAATACACTTTAATCTTTGGTTATACTTTCCTTTTGGGTGTTTAAGACCATACTGTTGACCCAAATAAACCAATTTATTTTTACCCTTAAGGTCGTTTGAGGATCTGTTCCTCAGGGATCACATGGACTTGGGAAGAGCTCCTGGCTCCTTTCTTTTACTAGTTCCATCTATGTGAAGATAAGTCAAAGGTCCCGCTTGACCTTGGCTGGCTTCACTTGGAAGGAAATATTTCCTCTGAGTTGACCCTCCTCTTTTTAGACTGGACACTGGTTCAAGTCCATCTGGTGGGGTCTCCATGGCCTCTCTGAACAAGAGGACAGGCGACTCATCTCAGTTACAGGACATTTTGTGAGATGCTCCATAGTCCCCTGGATCTTAGTTGACCTTGGAGGTCAAGGAGCAAAACCTGTCCCTTAAGTCCCTCTGACCAGATTACTATAGACCTCAAAGTATGCCTGATGCCTGAGAAGGACAGTAGAGGGCACCAGATACCCTAGAACTGGAGTTACAGGCAGTTGTGAGCGGTCATGTGGGTGCTGGGAACTGAATCCAGGTCCTCTGCAAGAGCAGCAAATGCTTTTAACTGCTGAGTCATCTCTCCAGACCCCTGGTTTTATGGTTTTGTTTTTTTTTGGGGGGAGGGGGGTTGGTCTTTTTTGAAACGGTCTCCCTGTAGCCCCAGCTGGCCTGGAACTCACAATGTAGACCAGACTGGCCTTGAACTCACAGAGATCCACCTGCCTCTCCCTCCCGGTTTTATGTTTTTTTTAAAAAAAAATAATTTAGCCGGGTGTGGTGGCACACACCTTTAATCTCAACACTCAGGAGGCAGAGGCAAGCGGATCTCTGTGAGTTCAAGGCCAGCCTGGTCTACATAGTGCGTTCCAGGACAGCTGGGGCTACAGGGAGACCCTGTCTCAAAAAGACCAAAAAAATTTTTTTTTTAATTTTTTGTGTGTATGAGTGTATTGCCTGCATGTACATAAGTGCACCTGTGTCGTGCAATGCCCGTAGAGGTCGGAAGAGGACATTGAATTCACCTGAAACTGGAGTTACAGATCATTGTTAGCCACCCTATGGGTGCTGGGAATCAAATCCAGGTCTTCTGCAAGAGCAGCCAGTGATCTTAACCGCTGAGTCATCTCTCCAGCCCCTGGTTTTAGTTTTTTGAGATAAGGTCTTTTTTTAAGGACTTTTCTGAGATTCATGATCCTCCTGCCTCAAATTCCCGAGTGGTGGAAAGTGAGTCTCTTACAGCATTTTTTTTCCTTGTGGTTCTGATGATCA